CTACATGAATTACACAACGATCCTAGTCCACTTGCTCTTATTCTGGACCAAGAGTCAGGATTTGGCTATTTGGCTTTCTGCTGTGCTTAAGGAAAGGTGCACAAGAAGCTCATGAATATCAAAACCTTAATCACAGCTATTTGGATGACATGAGTTCATGCTTTACAAACCAACCATGGCCCCAGTCATATTAAAATCAAAGTTGCAAAATAAAGAAACATTCTCCCAAACCTTGTCTGCTTCATTTAGATAACAGTGTGCAGAATGAATTCAAAGATAAAAATGCTTAGCATTACCATTTCCTTTCCTTTTAATTTTTTTTAAGCTCTGTGGTGTTATGGATGATATCATCAGGCAATTTGGTTTGAATATGTTCCATGCTGGACTGTGCAGATTACCTAACTAATGACATGCACACTCCTTGCCATTGTGACACCTCTCTTCTTACAAGTGGGAATTTCAAGTGACAGACTAAAGCTGTTTGCTATCAATTTTGCAAAAAACACATCTGCCAGATAGCCACGATTTAGTTCAGAGACCAAAATCGATTAATATTCTAATTTGTTACCTGTCATTAGTGTCACACTATATTATGCCAAGCCAAAAGTGATAACCTTTATATAACATATGCTCCTAAAGGAATTTGATTTTAGGGATATGCTTTATTTTTGCTTAGTGTTGTTCCTTGTATACAAATCCCATTAGAAATTTCAATTACACAGGCAGTAAAAATTGTGATGGATTAAAATGAAAGTGTAAAATATGTACTGTTATAATCTTTTATTAAAACTGCATGACTGTATTTATGATATGGTTTTCTAACACCTATTTAGTCTACCACCATACGATTTTAGGTATTTTGCTTGTTCTTTTCTATCATATTAAGGAGAGTGGTAGCAACATAATATTTTTCGTAGGTGTTACTCAGGTCCTCTAGTATTCTAGTATGTTAGGTAGCTGGTCAAAAGCAAATCTCTACGGAGGGGGAGACTTATTATCTGGTCTGATTTCTAGTACCTAATAAAGGGACACAAGAATGGGGCAATGACTTGGCAAAAAATGAGGTAAGATTAGCTAAGGTAACAAAAGAAAAGAGAATTTCATGTACAATTTTTTTTCCAGCTGATGGTTTTCGTACTGATAAACAGGAAGGAAAAAAAATAGTAGCTGGATCTAAGTTTAAAAAGGCTAAGAGATGCAGGGCTGCCATCATAAAATGGAAACATTTTGCTTTTTCAATGTGACAACATAGTTTAGTGCTGAAATGATGTTTTCCTTAGTGCTTGAAATATAACATTTTAATAATAGGCTTTAATTTTTCAGAATCTTAAAGCCTCAAAGTCTAAGAAGGATGGTTTGGGATATGTTAAATTGACATTCACTCATTCATCCATTCATCAAATTCATATTGAGTGCCTTGTGTGTACTTGGCACCAGCACCCAGCAACTGGACTATGTATGAAACAGACTCACCCTCTCGCCATCATAGGATTTACATTATTTTTGGAGGGATCTGGAAAGATTTTAAATCAAATAATAAAACACATAGCATAGAATGTGGTTCTAAGCAACGTAGTAAGAAATAAACCAAGGACTAGAGACAGGACATGCTCTTAGGGATGGGAATACAATTTTAAATGTGTAGTTGGGGAAGTCTCAAGTAAGAAGCCGACACTGGGCAAGACCTAAAGGAGAGGAGTAGATAAGTTGTGCTGATAAATGGGGAACATTTCCATCACATGGTTATCAGCCTTGCCATGTGCCTCACTGTTTACTCTTCCAGAGGAGGAGAGTGTGTTGAAGAAAGATAGGTTATGCATTTGATTTGGTATTATTCATTACTTTCTCTGCTTCCCTAAAACACATTTCCATCACAGCTTTAATAATATAAAATATTATTTTTTAAATAAAATAATATTTTATATTATTTTATCAATTATATAAAATTATTTAATAAAATATTCTGTAAGTGGGAGTTTTGTACCAATAACACATACATTTGGCTTCCATCTGGTTGTTGTAACCTCAAAATACCTGGAGTTTATATATCAGTCCATTAACTCAGCAGCAGAGCAAAGAAGGGAACTGAGATCTTGCTTTTCTCACGGTAGGGCTCATTTAATGGACCATCTCCAACCCTTCTCTATTATAGATCTTCCTGCAGAGGATGATAGTTATTGACAACTCTGTCAAGAGTGTGTCTCAGATGAACCTGAACTTGTTAAAAGTGGATGGAGAAATGAATGTCTCTAATGACTGAGGGATAAGAAGTTGATTCCTCTTATTTTTTATTTGGTCTTTCAGTATTCTTATAATATACTCCTATAAAATTTAAAAAAATCTCTCATCTAAATTATTGCAACAACATGCTTTATCTTTTGTCCCTATGTAAGCCATTTTCAATACTTGAGCAAGAATGATCTTTAAAAAGCCTAAGTTAGAACAGGGGATACCTCTGCTCAAAAATGCTCAAAAAACCCTGCATTTTATTTCACTTGGTAAAATCCAAGTTCCTTAAATACTCCACAAGGCCCCACATGATATGGCTTTTGCTATAGACAAATTCAACTTCTGCCACACTCTACCTTGTTCATTCTACTTAAGACACCTCAGACTTCTTGATAATTCCAAGCAAAAATTTGTCTAAGTGCTTTTGTCTTATTTTCTAGATTTTTTGATAGCTTCCTCCTTTACTCCCTTTTGGTCTTTTTATGAAGGAAATTGGTCCTGATAATTGGGAAAAGGCAGTCTCTTTAATAAGTGGTATTGAGAAATCTGAATATCAATATACAGAAGAATGAAAATAGACCCTTATCTCGCACCATATAAAAATCAACTAAAATGGACTAAAGACATAAATATAAGGTCCCAAACTATAAAATGACTAGGAGAAAACATAGGGGAAAAGTTTCATTACATTGGTTTGGGTCATGACTTTCTGGTTTTGACCCTCAAAGCACAAGTAATCATGACAAAAATGAAGCTGGGTGTGATGGCACATCCCTGTAATCCAATCTACTCTGGAGAATAAGGTAGGAGGATTAGAAGCTCAAGGTCACCTCTGCAATTTAGGGAGGCTCTAAGCAACTTTAAAAAAAAAGGCACCCCCCCAAAAACAACAACAACAACAACAACAACAACAAAACACCACAAACCAAAAATGGAGAGAGGAGATTTTATCAAACTAAAAAGCTGCTTCACAGAAAAAAAAAATCAAAGAGTGAGGAAATAACATATAGAATGATAAAAATATATGCAAACTATGTATCTGATAAGTGGTTAATATCTAAAATATACAAGGAACATAAACAAACTGAATAGCAATCAAACCACTCAGTTAAAAAAGGACAAAGGACCTGAATAGATATATCTCAGAAGAAGACATACAAATGGAAAACAGGTATATGGAAAAAATGTTCAACATCACTAATTATCAAAGAAATGTAAAATAAAACCATAAGGAGATATCACCTATTATCAAAAAGACACAAGATAAGAAATTCCAGTTAGGTTTTTAAAAGAAATTATATTAGTATGCTGAGGAGATGTCAGGACTTCCATGTTTACTGCAACACTATTCCCCATAGCCAAGATATGGAATCAACCTTACTTTGTATCATTGGATGAGTGGTCAAAGAAAATGTGGTATGTTTACACAATAGAGTACTATTTAGCTATAAAAAGAAGAATCCTCCCATTTGAAATAACAAGAATGAACTTGGAGGACATTTTGTTAAGAGACATTAGTCAGACACAGAAAGAACAAACATCAAATGGTCTCACTTATATGTGAAATCTCAGAAGTTTCTCATAGAAGCGGGGTTATACATCTGAATGAGAAGCCTCATACAGAGGCTGTGGAGTAGGGGTAGGGAGAAATGGTGAAAGGTTGATTGATGGGTACTGAGCAATGGTTAGATAGAAGCAAGAAGTTTTGGCTGGCTGTTACACAGTAGAGTGACTTTTTAATGACAATATACTTTGCATTTCAAAAAGCTAGAATGAAAAATTTTGAGTGTTTTTTTATGAAGAAATGATCTTTGAAGAGACAGATAAGTTAACCCAATTTAGACATTATACAATGTATAAATGTATCAAAGCATTCCATACTACTCTATTCATATGTACAATTTTATGTATCAGTTAAAATTTAACTATGAAAAGAACTGGATCTCATGGTTACTTGTGGCTGGGAATGTTGAGAGGTAGGTTGGGGAGATGTTCAAATGATACAAAATTTCAGTTAGATGGGGAGAGTGAGTTCAAGAGATATATCCTACAATATGGTGACTGTAGTTAATAATATATTGTTGTCTTGAAAAGTATTGAGTGAATGCAAAGTGTTCTCTGCACAAAGATGATAAGTATGTGAATTGATGCATTTGTCAGACTTGGTCAGTTAGTCAGATTTGGTCATTCCACAATATATATACTTCAAAACATGTTGTACAAGAAGATTTTCTCTGTCAATACAAAATATAAAATTAGGAAAATTAAATGCCACTGATTGGATTTAGTGGTAAAACTTATACAGATAAATTTAATGTTCAGATTTTTGCTTTTACCTGATGATGACAAAAATTTCAGAATTGGACAAAAGATTTTTAAAATGTTGAAAAAGAATGGGAAAAAACCCAAACTTGCAATACTGAGAAAGTGAATATTAGCTATAGTTTAGGAATTGTTTTTATAATGAAATAATTTCATGAATGCAAATCCAAAATATATATAGCACAACCTATAGCACAACATTCATATTCTTGAGAGAAATAGACATAAAAGACATTAAACACAACATACCGATTTTAAAAACACACTGGATTGTCATTGATACAGTATAGTTAAAGACAATAAAGATGGAATAGTAAGATTATTCCATTATATGATTGGAATACTACCTTAAACATTCAAATATTAAGAGTTCTGCTTTCTTAACCAATGAGTAAGGTTTTAATTTTCAACCCTTTATTTTTACTCTGATAATAGTATGGGATACTCACGTGGAATTTTATGTAGCTCATTCATGAATTTCTCCTTCAGCTTAGAAAAGGCATCTTCTTTTCCCTCTCCAGGACTGGCGGGCTCAGTGGCATTACTGGGTAGAATAGTCGCAACCGTGGTGACTGGCGGGGCTGCCAGGGCCTCATGATGACTCTCGCTCACCATTTTAGTTTCAGAGAAACTGTGAGGGGAGGGAAGCAAAGAAAAAGCAATTCAAAATGGCTCACCTGACCCCACATCAAAGGTATATCCGAAATGAAAATATCACAGGTCCCACCTGCTCACCGGCTAAATAGTCTGTCATTAGCATATTACTTTATGTTGGTGCATGAAATATTTATGGGACCACAGAGAGTGGAGAGTTCTTTCCCAGAGGGTAAGACCAGATGCAGCTAGTGAATGGCATTCTCTCCCAACAATACTACGCAAACTGTCAAATCTCTTAGTAATTTATTTATACAGCCCATGTGTAGATTTAACTTCTAACCTGTATCTTAGTGAAATGTGTATGAAACAATTGTTGACAATATGCACACTCTACCCTCTAAACACACTGTATCTTCTCAAAGGAAAAAAGAGATATTTGTATTAGAAAGGGTGATGAGTCATAGCATACTTTCAAAATGGTAGTGACTTTTTAAATGGTTATAAATAACACTATTATAACATTGAGAGTCTCAGATATCATGAACATGATGCAGAAATTAGTTCTTGATTTCACTTATTGATATCAATTTTTTTCCCAGTCTTTTAAAACATTTTTTTACATTTACTGTAGGCAATACTCTGATCAAGAATTCACTTGTCTTGCTGGGTGATTTCTTTAGGTCACTGCAAATGTGACATGATTGGCTACATTGACTATCAAGACACTGATGATGAAACATGACTTGTCTGTGTAATTATTTTAATTTATTTAGGTTGATCATGTCATTGAATTATTTTATTAAGTTAATTTATTCAATTATTTTAAGTGCTTTTTTTAATCTTCAAATTACTAAAAAAACAATCCTAAGATAGGCAATGAAAATATCTTAGTCTTGAATTCTGAAGACATCAGTTCTAGTCCTCTTCACTAGCTAAATTAATTCTGACAAGGACCTGACTTCTTAATTTATCCCCCTTCTGAAATGTGAAGAACTGAACCCTGTCCTTTCCACATTTTTTTTTTTAGTATTGCACATGTGAGGTGTTATATAAATGTATGAAAAGTATTCTAAAGGAGTAGAAATAAACTCATATTCTGCAAACCAAAAATATTTGGGGCTTTAAAATTTAACTGTGTGATTTTGGGCCATGCTGATGAAAAAGGAGACGTGACTTTGAGCAGAGATAGATAAATGTAAACAGGTCAGGGCAGGAATAACTTCACAGTCACAACAGGAAATGTGATGGGCAGGTAGAGACCTTTTGATTTGCAAAGAAGTGCAGGTAACAGGCAAACACATAAAGGATTTTTGTAGAATGCAAACCTTTTATGAATTAATTATGGATACTTACATATTTACTGAAAGAATAACTGAAATAGAATAATCTTAGGTGGATGGCATTATTAAAGTCTTAATTAAAATCCAGAGATTTTAGATCTCCTGGAAGAAGATCATGGCTGAGGTTAATGTATACAAAGATAATCAATTTTTTATTCCATAACTGATTAGTTCTTTTTTCTAAGCCTTTAGTTTTTTACTGTTAGCTAGTAATATATTCCTAAAGGATAGAATCAGAAGGATACAAATCCAGATCTCTTCTTTCATTTTCTTCATTTGGAAAAATGAGTATAATCAGGCCAACTACTTAAGGATTTTGAGTATAAAATGAGATAATCTATGCAAAGAGCTCAGCAGGTATTTGTCATATAAATTTGTTCCATTGATCCATTTATCCATGCATCCACCCATCCATGTCTCCATGAATCATCTTTAATAGCATTTAGCAGCCCAGAATTTCCCAAAGTGTGGAAACTTTTCATTTCTCAAAAGCTTTTCCTGATCCTGTTTAGCTTAGGAATCTGTGTCCCTGAAAAACTTAGAAGTCCCATCTGTACTCTTGGTACAACTTGGATGAAATTATTGATACTGATGAGGTCATGACTTTATATTTCATGAGTCACACTAAAATTGTAATATTCCAAATATATGTATGAAATATTAGCATGTATATATTAAAAATACATGTATGAAATATTAGTATGTATATATTAAAAAAATGAACTTCTTCCTCTGCCTTGAGAATCACCAGTTGTGATTCATTTCATTTCTTATCTATACACAATTATTGAGGATATTTGGGGAATTATGGTTTCCTATAGAATTTAAAGGAAATAATGAAGGTCAAGAAAATATAGCCAAATACAATAGTGACATAAATTTTGCATATTACTCCAACATATTATGGAATATAAGACATTTCTGCATGTATTTGGAATATTATAGAGCTATAGAAACAATAACACTTTTGCTTAGTAGAGTCAACTTTTAGAAAATGTGCTTGAAGTTAACTCATCTTTTTAAGAGAACAAAATAATTGTTTCTATGATTATCAAATACATTCTTTGTAGACATAAGTGTCCTTGGAAGGTATTGAACATAGAAGTAAAAGCAGTAAACTTTTAACTCTTGCCATCCAATTATCCCTAACATTTCTTTTTTTTTTTTTAATTTTTTATTGTTGGTTGTTCAAAACATTACAAATTTCTTGACATATCATATTCCACACTTTGATTCAAGTGGGTTATGAACTCCCACCTTCACCCCATACACAGATTGCAGAATCACATCAGTTACACATCCATTGATTTACATATTGCCATACTAGTGTCTGTTGTGCTCCGCTGCCTTTCCCATCCTCCAACATCCCCCCTCCCCTCCTCTCTCTCTACCCCCTCCACTGTATAACCCTGAGGGTCTCCTTCCATTTCCATGCAATTTCCCTTCTCTCTCCCTTTCCCTCCCACCTCTCATCCCTGTTAAATGTTAATCTTCTTCTCCTGCTCTTCTTCCCTACTCTGATCTTAGTTACTCTCCTTATATCAAAGAAGACATTTGGCATTTGTTTTTTAGGGATTGGCTAGCTTCACTTAGCATAATCTGCTCTAATGCCATCCATTTCCCTGCAAATTCTATGATTTTGTCATTTTTTAATGCAGAGTAATACTCCATTGTGTATAAATGCCACATTTTTTTTTATCCATTCGTCTATTGAAGGGCATCTAGGTTGGTTCCACAGTCTTGCTATTGTGAACTGTGCTGCTATGAACATCGATGTAGCAGTGTCCCTGTAGCATGCTCTTTTTAGGTCTTTAGGGAATAGACCAAGAAGGGGAATAGCTGGGTCAAATGGTGGCTCCATTCCCAGCTTTCCAAGAAATCTCCATACTGCTTTCCAAATTGGCTTCACCAATCTGCAGTCCCACCAGCAATGTACAAGTGTACCCTTTTCCCCACATCCTCGCCAGCACTTGTTGTTGTTTGACTTCATAATGGCTGCCAATCTTACTGGAGTGAGATGGTATCTTAGGGTGGTTTTGATTTGCATTTCTCTGACAGCTAGAGATGGTGAGCATTTTTTCATGTACTTGTTTAACATTTCTAATTTGTTGTAAATTAAGAAACGATTATAAGAAATATAGACAAGGCTCTTATCAGTGCAAACCACTGTGAAATTAAAAATGTTTTCATAAAGTATAAAAATATGGTAAGAAGTTAAGGATCAAATATATCGAAAAAGGAAAACTAATTGTTGTTCAATATTTTTATTGTTTTGTATGTTGAAATATAAGATAGATAATACTGCTCATAAATAATAAAGCTAACAATAGTTATGTGGTTCTTAAAAATTCATATTATGGAAATAAGGTGTTTATCAAGAAGCATCATTTTATGAATAGAAAAACTAGTTTTGACTATGGTGGCAATTTTATTTTCTTTTATATATGTTAGTGCATGTAGGATTGCCTGATTATTCAGAAAAAATATTTTATTCAAGTTTCGATAAAATTAAACTAATAGTCATTGAGTACTTGTAGAGCAACTTGGAAATATTAAAGCATAGTCCTTATACTACCCCCATGAAAGAATTAATTATCACCCATTTCATAGGTGAGGAAACTAAGGCATAGGGAGGTTATACATGTGGTTGGAAGTTGTATAGTAGTAATTACTGGAATTGGGATTTGCAGTATTAAGGGAATTGTACTCAATAAGATAAATATCTAATAATATCAAGTTTTGTTGAAGGAGCTTTTAAATACAACTCATAATAAGAACTACATTTTATAATGTGATCTAGTAAACACTCTCTGCCTGCATGTTATATACTGAACAATACATTAAAAATTTAATGTAAACAAATTCACTATTGTAAAATACCCTGACACATTCAATTTTACTTTATTTTTTACTAAAAATTTTAGTTGTACCTCCAAATGGTGTTCCTTAGTTTCATAATTCACTAATGGTTTCAAACATAATTTGAAAAATCATGACAGAATGAACATTTTTAAGCTACAATAGCACTGATGGGGCTAATAACTAAAGATGTCATTAGGTACCTACTAGATGTCAAAATACTATCATTAATATTTAAGTATAGTAACTTCAATTACCATATTGCCCTGAAAAGTGACTTATTCCTTTTTTAAAAAAATAGTTTTAAAATTGTAAATGGACCTTGTATTTTATTTATGTATATGTAGTACTGAGAATCAAACCCAGTGCCTCACACATGCTAGGCAAGTGCTCTACCACTGAGCCACTTATTCTTAATTTATGAAAAAGACTGATATGTGACTTTCCAGACAAATGATCTGTCCTTCACAGATTTTTGACAGATCCCAGGTTCTTTCAGTTGGTCTACTCTAATAATACCACTTAAGTATTATCAAACAATTAAATTGGTACTAAAGAAGTATTTATAATTTTCATTTTAATCAATTTACCAGTAAATAGAAAATATACTTCATCTTACTAATAGGAAACAGATAACATAATTTTAGAGGTATAGATGTTTGGTTTGTTAAAGTGGAATTTAGCATTCTCAAACATGCCAAAAAAAAAAAAAAAAAAAAAAACCCCACTGTTGGATGGAAACATACATTCTCTTCTAAAAGTAAATTCAGCAGAAAGCATGTGATTAAGCAATTTCCAAAGAAATACAAATTCCCCTCCCTCTT